ACCCTCCACAACCTCATCCACCGCTGTGGCCCACCCTCCATAACTTCATCCGCCGCCTCTGCTGCCACTCCCTCCATGACGTCCGCCCTTGCCACCACCCCACCCTTTCCACGATCTCTCCATATCTCTCGATGCCTGCGCTCCGCCAAGGCCCCTGCGAACGCCTGAGCACGCGGGTCACTGGATGCCATAAGTCGAGCCCTCTCTCGCTCCATGATGTTGCGTGCCGCTTCTGGATACTGCGCCACCGTCCTCTCTCTCGGGGCCTGCGACCCCGTCTCGCCCACTACCTCGTCCAACGAAGGCGCCCGATCCATCGATGTCGTCCCGCCACAAGTAGGTGGAGCGCCCATCGACATGTCAAAGTCGAAGTGGGTCCCCATCTCTGGACCAGACCCCTTGTGGGAGGAGACATCCCCAGCCCCCTTGCCACACCTGGGGTGAAACCGCCCATGATTGGATCGAGCTCCTCCGTAATAAACTGGTGCATGAGGTGCTCCTCGGCGTCGTCACCGCCCCCACTGGCGTCCGAACCATCATGCTCCATAACAACGCCTGAGATCACAGCCGCTGGCGCTACCGCCTCCTCCCCCTCCACTACAACTGCTATCTCCCCTTCCACTGCTGCTCCAGCTGGCACCTCCTCCTCCCCTGTCGCCACTGCTGGTACCTCCTCCTTTGATGTTGGTACCTCCCCCTCCACCGTTGCCGCTGTCGTGACCTCCTCCCCCGCTCGGGGTAGCCCCCCCTGTCCGCCGGAGTGGCACGGTGGCCAACCTCCTCCTGGACCGCCGTAGATCTCTGCAGAAGTCCGTGCTGAGGCAAGGAGGATGCCAACTCCTCCGTCTCCGCCGCTGCCGTGGCCGGCTGAAGTGGCGAGACGGGCGATGGTGGTGTAGGACTCGAAACAGGAGGTGGTGGCATGGACGACTCTCGCCTCGACGGAGTAGGAGTCATCATCCGCGCCTCTGTGCGGCTCGTGCCTGCATGAGAGCCCTCGACTCTATCATCGCGCACATCACCTGTGGAAGCCACCTCCCCGAAAGGGCCCCAAAAATCCTCGTCTCCCCTCATCATCTCCCTCTCAGCCCGGTCCGCCGTCTGTCGTGCGGTGTATGTCCTAGTCTCCGCGTCGTCGGCGTTCTCGTGCGTCTCGTCGATCTCAGGAGGAATGGGGAGCGTAGGGTCATCTGCTGCCTCGGGTGCCCTCCTCATCCGAGTCATCGTCCCTGGGGTACGGACGGAAAATGCAAGCACGTCTACTAAAAACAGCATCAGCAGAGGGCTGTGCGGAGGCCCAATGGGATCGCGCCTAATAAGCACAACCTGCTGGGCAATCTCCTCCTGCGTCATCCCTCTGTGCGTGCCCGTGCGCACCGGCTCCACCTCGAGTCCTGCCTGGCAGTCGAGCATGCTTTCGTCCCGCTACAATGGCAGCACATAACCGCATCCTGCCCGTCGATACTCTGTCAACCGCACATTTGCGGTGATCTCAACGAGTTGCACGACCTTCTCGAAGGCCAACTGGTTGCGCTTCTTTGTGTGGATGCCCTCGTGGACTGCTCAATTCCTCTCCGCGGGAGAGGCGCAGGACCACACGTGCATCACACGAAGAGCGCACCGCCGCAACTCAGGCGCGCCAGCCCTGTACTGGGACCACCAAGACGCGCACTCGATTGTCTCGGCATCACCGCTACATGCACGCCCATGAGCACGCCCCTCTGTCCCGCCCCAATCGCCAAACTTGCCCTGCTGCATATGGAAGTCCTCAAACTGCCGACAGACAACGATGTAATCCGCACCGTCCAACTCGAAACCCGTCTGCGATAGAATGTACCTCTTGGCTTGCCTCACAAGCCAAGCATGGTAACCCTCCACCGTGCCTGAAAAGTACTAAACATGTCGCCTGCGGGGGTTCGGTAAGAACCCAGCGTAGTGAGCCGGCTCAAGCATGTGCTCTGTGAGGGCTTGCACACGCCTGATAATCCGGTCTTGCGAAGGACTGGCCTAAAGGAGCGCATGTGTCCTTCACACGGTGAACAAGATCGTGTGTCCACTCGATCATGAGCGACATGAACTGCCCTTCATGATCCATCCGCCTAAGCAACTGCATGACGGGCTCCATGATATGGACGATGGAGGCCACCCTCTGCCACCAAGGATCCCATCTGATCTGTCGACGCACCCAACGCGCCATGATGCACACATCGGCGGACCACGGGATGGAAGCAAAAGGCCATGAGTCGTCCCCTCGCATCATGCCCTGCAAAGTGTCCTGCAGAGCCAGCAGCCTCTCCAGCATGGAGTAAACAGACACAAACTGCGTCTTGCAAGAAAGAATAAGCCCCTTGTCGGGGCTGCGCTTCCTAAAAAAATGAAGGGCGGCCTGGGGGGTTTTGAAAAACACCAACAACACACGAGTGTGAGTGGTCGTGTCCACAAACGCGTCGCAACTTCTCCCCATGTTTGACAACAATTTGTTGGAGACATGGATGGAGCATGGGAGCCAAGTGATCCTCCTCAGTGCAAGAGGCATGGTCGGCGAGGTCATTGCCCTTGCAGCCCCAACGTACGTTGAAGTGGAGTCAGTGAATATCACATTGACTTGCTGCGGCCCACCGAACATGAACTCGTGGAAGATGGTGACCCATCTCCGAAGGACGTGCTCTGCATCGTCCGACTCCCCCTCTCGATTGATCGTCATGTATATGACGACCCCTCGCGTGCCTGCGGTAAGGAAATTCACAATTGGTCTCCCGTCTCGTGATTTCCTCCCGTTTGAGAGGATGGTGGCACCAGTCACCCAGAATGGCTGCCTCACCTCCTCCAATTCCTCCGCCAACTCCGCACGGTGGGTCTCCACCGCTTGCATGCTTGCAATCTCGCTGTGGCTGGGGAGCACAGCGCGCGATGAACTGCTAGGCTGCTCAAGAAGCACTTGTTGATATGCCTTCCATGCCTGGTTGCGAAGGCCTTCTTGTGGCGAGCAACCCACTCGCCACCGTAGACCTCAGTCACCTGCTGGTGAAGCCTCTTTCCGGCTTGGGTAGCAGCCGGATCAGCTCCTCCTTCCTTCCTCTTTGAAGGACCCTCCTCCCTGAGACCCTCCATTGCAGGCACCTATCCCTTGCCTGCTCGCCGCAGCCACTCCACCATCCTCTCCCCAGTGGCTGGCTGGAACTCTGGCATGTCCTCGCTTCCCGGGAATCCCTCCTCACCAAGGCCACGTGCCTCGCGATCGATGTGGATCACGTCCTCCTCCATGTTATCGCCTCCACCCGGACCACCCCCCAATGGGCGGTCGGACGCACCCTGCCCACCATCTCCCCCACCCCCTCCCTCCATCGGACGCTGCCCCCCCTTTCCTCTCCTTGCACCACCCCCCTGGGGCACATCGAGTCCACGCTCCGCTGTGTACCTGCCAACCCTCTCCATCTGGTCAGACTCAAACTTTTGTCGAGTCCGTCTTGCGATCTCGTACAATGCCTCGTCGCTGACGTCCTTGCAGTAGTTTGTCTGTATGAAGTGCCTCGTGGCCTGGTACTGAGTCCCCTGGAATACTTCGTTGCAAAACGTGCAACGCAGCATCATCACCCCCTTCTTGTCGACCTTCTGGCCGACGACAAGATATCGATACACAGGGGACCGACCCCTGAACGTGTCTTGCACATGGTCTGGAGCCGCCTCATGCTAGAGCCGCTATGCCCTCCCCATGTCGACCGCCCTCTACCCTACTCCAAAGCGACGAGGCCTCGCAAAACCAACCCCCTGTACCCACCCCCGTCGCTGTCCTGCTTCACAGACTTGCCCGAACACCGCCGCGAACCATGGAACGCCTGACGAATGAACGCGTTCAATCGCGTTTAACGCCGTTGAATTAAAAAATTCAACGGTGTTTTTCGGCGCCGCGCGTGCGAATCCGCTGCCGTTGTCGACCCCGCTCCGGTGCTGCTGCCGCTCCGCTTCGCGCCAGCCGCCAGTTCCACAGCTCTCTCTCTCTCTCTCTCTCTCTCTCTCTCTCTCTCTCTCTCTCTCTCTCTCTCTCTCTCTCTCTCTCTCTCTCNNCTCTCTCTCTCTCTCTCTCTCTCTCTCTCTCTCTCTCTCTCTCTCTCTCTCTCTCTCTCTCTCTCTCTCTCTCTCTCGTGTCGTCTCTCTTGTCTCGCGTTGTCTCTCTCTCTCTCTCTCGTCACGTCATCTATCTCTTTCTCCCTCCTGTCGTCTCTCTCTCTCTCTCTCTCTCTCTCGCGCGCGCGCGCGCGCGCATTGGACGCCCTGCACAGCACGCGTTTGTCGCGTTCAAGAGTTTCGGCGCGCGCGGCAAACGAAGTGCGGCCGAGTGAAACGGCCCTTTATGTAGCCGTTCCACCCGGCCCTCCCGAGCAGCCCGCCCAACACCGCTACCCTGAGAACGCCCTGCACGTCGGGGTCGGGTTGTTTTTTTTTTTCAATTAAGAGAAAAAACAAAAGAAATCTGAGGGCACGAGGTGGTAACCAACAGGCCACTGCACCACACCAGGCCCTCAGAAACTCCGTACCCCCCACCAACCGCGCGAAAACCAAGTTCGCAGACCCCGTTCATTCGCATCCAACGCGCGTTTGAATGGGGATTCAACGCTAATTCAACGCGAAACCCGCGTTGAATCCGAAATCGGACACGTACCTTTTTATTGATGCTTAGCTCACATCTGTGATACGCAACACTCATGCCCTCAACCTTCCTGTTTCTTTGCTTTCTTACTTGATTTTCTGATGCTTGGCACTCATGCACTCAACCTTCCTGTTTCTTTTTGCTTTCTTTCTTCATGCTTGGCTCACATGGGTGTGATTACACATGGCTGAGATACACTCAACCTTCCTGTTTCTTTGCTTTGTTTCTTCATTTCCTTCTGCCAAATGTTTTCTTGTTTCTCTGATCCAAGTAGCAATTCATGCGACATTATATGGGCTAACAACCAATAATGCTTACATGATTTCATGATGGTTTGCATTTATCTGGGCAGGAATGTTGTATATGTCTGTCAGCCTATGAGGATGGTGTTGAGCTGCGAGGCCTTCCATGCCTACACCACTTCCACTCTGCCTGCATTGACAAATGGCTGCGGGCGAAAGCCACATGTCCACTGTGCAAGTACAACATTGCGCGGAATGGCAACACTGCGGAGGAACCGTAAGAGAAAAGGAAGTGCAAGGGAATGGAGCGGTTTTTAAAATGCCAGGACAAGGGTGCAGCAGAGGGGCATGTGAGCAGCAGGGGGGCTGATGAGTGGTAGGGATTGCTCTGGAAACCTGGTAATTTTCATCAGCTGGGATTCATTTAAAATATCCATATGTCTATTGTTGAAAGCTAAGAACTCAGCATAATGAGTGAGAGAAAGGTGTCTTCAACCATGCATGGAGGCTGTGGGGTACGCTGAAGTTCATTGCTGCATGGAAATGGGATGTGAACCATGTGATATCATTCCCTGAATGTCAGTGTATTAAGTTTTGGTTAGGTCTGCAGAGGAATTTTGTGTTCCAGGTTTCTTATGCAATGCGAATATCAATGCAAATGTGAGCCCAGGCTGAGGGGATGCAACAGTGGTTGAGAAGTGTGCTGCAGGGATGGTGAGAAGGGGGGGCTGAACAGGAGGGTGTAGGATGGTCATGAGTTGAGATGTGCGCTTTTGACCGGCTCAAAATGCAACCATGGGCAACTATCTGGAGGGGGAAAGTGCCATAAAGAGTAAGTGGGATGAGCAAACATGCCAGAGTGAGTGGGTGAGTGCGCACAGCTGTGTCCCTCTCTTACTAATTGGCAACTTGTGATCCTCAGTATCAGGTCCTGGGAGGAAAGTGCTGCCTTCAGCAGTGGGAAGGGGCAAGGTCGGAGGCAAGTGCAGATTTCAAAGGTGGTTGTGAGGCAACTGGCTCCTCAAAAGAGTGCTACGGGAAACAGAGTGGACGGAATGAGCGGACATGCCAGAGTTGGTGAGTGTTGGTAGCTGTGTCTCTCTCTCTCTCATTTTGGTGAGTGTTGGTAGCTGTCTCTCTCTCATAAGTGGCACCGCATGAGGAAGGTGATGATTTCAGGATAAGGAAAAGATGGGAGGAAGAGGGAAAGTGCTGACTTCAGGAAGTGGGTTCAAAGTAAGTAAGGGGACCGTGAACTGCTGATTTCAGGAGCGGGGTGGTAAGAAGGAATTCAGGTCTTAGTCTATGGAGGTTGCATGAATATGACACATGGACTAGATGGATCGCATGGGGGATTCCAAGGCATCGTGCTGGAGCAGAGGGGAAAGGATTGAATAACAAGAGGCTGGGGAAAAGCAGGAATGAGGTGAAGAGATAGAGATAGAGGGGAGAGGTGGCCGATGTTTGTAATCAAGATGTGAGGTTATGATGATGGTCTGTTGACATGGGCGCACATATAGTTTTCCTTGTAAGGCTTTGGTAGCTGTGCTGAACTCCCCAGGAAAGCAGTGCAGCCTACTGGCGGATATTCATGTACTGAATCCACAATGAAAGCAACTTGTCGGCTAGCAGATGCGCACTACTTTTGCTCACATATTAGGTGCACAAAGATATCTTGCTCTCACCGCTGTGCAAATGGCAAGGATTGTTTGTCAAAGAGTGTTTCCATGAGACTATCGATTCGAGGCCATGCTGCCCAGATCAGTTGTGTGTCTGCATACTATGCGGATTATGAGACACACAGAATTCCAAAGTAGACCAGTATGCAATCATTGTTTGCCTTAGCTATTGAATTGTGTGCCCTTAAAGATATTTGTTACTCTGTCAAAAGACGAGAATCTATTCAAAGTCAGTCTTCAGGGTGATCATTCACTTTGTCCATCCGAGTACTTGTCATGCCATCTCTCTCTCTCTCTCTCTCTCTCTCTCTCTCTGTCTCTGTGTGTGTGTGTGTGTGTGTGTGTGTGTGTGTGTGTGTGTG